ATACAATACGCAACGGTGAATAATACTTTTAATACTTTTATACACACACACAAACACACAAACAATATGTACGTAGGGCCGCATATAGGAATAGCTTTGCCAAGCCACAGTATAAATGGCCAAGCTCTGCGTAAAGCATGTCGGATCGTACGTGCGCACTTTTCGTTCAGTTTTTGTCTAAGATTGTATCGAGTTATCGATTACGCGCGCAATTAAATTCAGTTGTAAATTATATATCTCGTTACGTACGTTGAATTACGCGAAAGATGAGAGCGTGATTATATAAAAATTTACACGTCTTGACAAATATAAAATGATGTCCCAGATCAAAGCAGTTCCACATAACCTTATTCAGTGGGATCAGGGTGACGAATCCCTGGCTCCGTTAACAGAATGTCAAAAGGATTGTCTAATGAGTCTAGAAACCGTTGTGACTTCATTTTTTCCGTTATCGAATCTACAATCTAGTATAATAGATAACAATGAGAAGTTACAGGAGCAGAATTTTCAAGAGAATGTACCTCCGATAGAAAGGTATCAGGAGTTACTCCAGCATTTCTTGTCCCTGGAAAGGAAGTATATATCTATGTACGATATGAAGTACAATCTATATCTTGACGAACTGAAATCGAGGAAATCCGAATGCCAAGATGTTTGTGTTCAGATAGAAGAGGCATTAGATGATTTCTCTGCACTTTATAAACAATATACCGAAGTTTCCTGCAAGACTACTTCTCTGTATGAGGCCAGCGAGCAACTTATCTTTGATCAAAAACAGTTAAATATAACGATCGATGGCATTATGGAATATGTTAAATACTTCAAGGAAATTGATGTGATCATAGAAAAGCTAGATGCATCTACCTTATCAGTAAACAGTGAAATGTTTTTCACTATATTAGACAAAATTGACACAAACATAGACTTTATGCAGAACAACTCATCATACAATGAAAGTGGAATTTATTTAGTGAGATATAGGCATTGTCAATCAAAGGCGATTGCATTGATACAGAATTACATTTTCAACTTGTTCTCTAAAACCACTGAAAGCATTTTAAATTTGAGAGATAGCGAAAACTCATCGGAAAATGCAGACACAGCTCTTGCTTTATTCTATGGTAGATTTCAGACAATTTTATCCAAGACGAGGCCAGTTATCAAGCAGATTGAAAGCAAATCATACAAAAGACAAGAGTATGATAGCTTGTTGCTTGAATGCCATCAATATTATTGGAACCAGCGAGGCTTAGTGCTAGGTAAAAGTATACAAAAATCCCTGAATTCTATAAGGGAGAAGTATAACGGCGATCACTGCAGTTTAGTGCGACATTCTTGTGCATTACTCTTACATGCGTCAATAGATGAACATAAACTTTTTTACGAGTTCTTTTCAAAACAATCAAGTGGATTGACTACATATTTGGAGAGTTTGTGCACTTCTCTGTACGATGCCCTAAGACCTTTCATAATACATATCAATCATCTCGAAACATTAGCCGAGATCTGTTGCATTCTACGAATAGAGATGCTAGACGAATATGTACAAAACAATCTCGAACCATTAGAAGGCTTTGGAAACATATGTCTGCAGTTGTTGCACGATGTTCAAGAGAGATTAGTATTTCGTGCGCACTTATATCTTCAGTCCGATGTATTGAATTACAATCCTTCATCAGGCGACTTGGCATATCCAGAAAAACTAAAAATGATGGAGGACATAGCGGAATCGATTAGGGAAGCGACTCGTCAAACTCGCATGAAAAAGATTTCAGTATCATCGTCCACTGACGGTTCTGCTCTGGAACCCGTTTCTCGAAATCATATAGTTATCGATTCCATTTATCAGAAAACACACATGGGTAATTCTCCAGCGGACTTACATGCTATGTGGTATCCCACAGTTCGCAGAACTTTAGTATGTCTGTCGAGACTATACCGTTGTGTCGATAGATCTGTATTCCAATCATTAAGCCAGGAAGCTATTTCTCTTTGCGTTCAGAGTATTGAGAATGCCAGACAGGAAATTGAGAAGAGAACAGGCACTTTGGATGCAGAATTATTTCAGATAAAGCACTTGCTTATTCTTAGAGAGCAAATCGCTCCGTTCCAAGTAGATTTCACTATCAAGGAATATAGTTTGGACTTTTCCAAAGTGAAGACCGCTGCATTTGGACTGCTTGAAAAGAGTTCTAGGTTCTTTACTTTGTCAAACAATGCATTACTACAATTTCTTTTGGAAGGTGCGCCACAAATGAAGGAGCAACTTATCGATTCACGAAAGCACGTAGACGCAAAATTGAGACTTACGTGTCAACGATTAATACAACATGCAACTTTTCTATTAATTTATCCTATTATTAAGTTATTGGAGAAAGAAAAATTGCTTGACGCAAACTCAAGTCCAGAAAATGCATTAGGAAGTGCGCAAGAAATAGCAAGTACAGTAGCCGATGTATTGAGGGTAATCAAATTCAAATGTCCTGAGATACAGCAATCGATGCAATTGTATTTGGCGAATAAGGAAACTGAATTCATTCTGTTTAAGCCGGTGAAAAATAACATTTGCGCCGCGTTCACTCAATTGCATCAAATATTGAATAAGCATTATAATGATGAAAACCTTTTGTTGATCGCGTGTCCTTTGCCGGAACAAATTTCTGTTATGTTGAGTTCAACAACGCTAGTTCAAGGAAAATCAAATCGAGAATCGCAATCAGTTTCGAAACAGTCGCATTCATATACAAAATTAGAAGATTGAATATCATTTGTTGATTGAATAATACTTATTATTTTCAAGAATTAATTGTTGGATATATGTGTAAGATATTAATACAACTTTTGATTAAAAAATATGCAAAAATAAATCTTTCTCTATGTTGAATTGTGTGTATAATAATAATTATAATGAAACAAAATTTTATAAGTAAAATATTGTATGAGGA